TCACGCCCAGGGCCTGCATTCTTTGGAAAAGCCCGGAGGGCCGTGGAAATGTCTTTGTTGCCCGGCCTGAGTTTCTCTCAACCAACTGGCGCGTCGCAACTGCCTGGACCCCAAATATGAAATTGATAGTAGAGGGCCTCTTGCGATATGTCAGGCCCGCCTTCACTTAGGGCGGGCAATGCTGCAAACAGGGCCCCTTAGGCCTACCGAGGACCCTGATCCTCGCATTAATTTTAAATAGAGTTAATATGAATTTAATGGACTAAAGCCAAGTAGAAATTTAAATTATTTTAGTATTAATTCATGGATTTTAAGTCAATTTGCAAGGAAAATGAGTGATAGCGAATTCCAGAAACCAAGCAGCATCATACACACGAAACCAGATAGTCGTGACCTCGAACCAAAAGCAGAATTGCAACTCGAGTTCCACCAAGTAAGAGCACAGTAAAAGCTCACAAGTGACAATGTTGGAATAGTCTCATCATCATCAACAAATAACCAATGTCGATTTCCTATCTGGCGCTCTGCGCCCAGACTACAAATGGCAGATCCTATCTAGCCTAATCTACAATGCCGCTGGTGACGTCAACAGCTCCCCCAAGTACGAGCAGATCTCGGGCAATGCCGTTCGCCTCAAGCACCAGGTATGTCTCTCGCATCACTGACAACCTTGAACCCCCACACAGATGCCACGTGCACCCAAGGACCACCATGCGCCTCATCCAGCACCTCGCAGGCCAGCTCGGCTATGGCTGCCAGCGTATCCCTTGATCGCCCATGAGCTCGTGGGCGCTTGCCTGCCAGTAGCGCAGCAGCGCTTGCGCATCATGTAGCAAGTGCCCGAATGCCAAATGTGGGGGGAGGCACTTTCCGATATGGAAGTGGCCTGCCCACTGCGTGCGGCCTGGCTGCGCTGGGCCCCTGCCCAGAGGCTTCCGGTAGGCCCCAAGTGGCTGAGCCCCAGTCCAGGGAATCAGGCCCAGGGCATAGAGCGGTTACCTGTGTTCAACTGCCCGCAGCTTGTGTTCGACCCATGTTGTGTCTCTGGCCCAGGGCCTGCCTCAGATACATCTGTAAACTGCAGCCAGGGCCTGGGGCGCTTTCAACCAACTGGCGCTGCGCAACTGCCTCAATTTTCCCAGTTGCGTGGTAGTCCAAAATAGGCCTCTCGTCCTTGGTCGGGCCTGCCTTCACTTAGGGCGGCCGACAGTGCTGGAAAACAGGGCCCAGTAGGGCTCGTCGAGGCCTTGTGCCTCTCAAATTGAAGTAATTGCCAATAAATTTTGAAAAAGAAATTATGATTCGCAAAACAATTGGGAGAGAAAAAAAATTAATAAGAAGAAAATAATGCAAGGAAAATGAACAGAAGCGAGATGACAATATTCAGATTGCACAATCACATTGAGAGCCAAATCGTAACACAGTGTTCAGAAAGAAGCATTGCACCAATATAACACCAATGGAGAATCGAAGCACTGAAAGTCAATGTCAATGAGAGCTTGCTCTCGCCACCACCAACATATGTATCCAGTCTCTATCTCCCTACCTGGCGCTCGGTGCCCAGCCTCCTTCCTACACATCTACTACTAGCCTACGAATTGACAATGCAACTGTTGACGTCAGCAGCACCTGAAGTACTTGAAGATGTCGCCCATGCAGAACCATCGCCAATACCAGGTATGTGCCCTCACATCATCATCATCCTTCTCTCTCCCCCTTGACTCTCTCCCACGTCTCCCTTTGTTGTACACCCGAAGACCACCCCTGCGCCTCACTGTATGTCCACGCCCGAATGCCCTGGCCAGGCAGCGAGCTCTTTCCTATATGGAAAGATCCTGCCTCGTTTGGCAGCCTGGCTGGACTGGCCTGGGCCCAGAAGCTTCCGGTAGGCCCCAGGATGCTGCGCCTCTGGTGCAGCTACTGGGCCTTATTCGGTTGGGCCTCCCAACTGTCTTTGTATGAGGCTGCGAATCTGGCACAGGGCCTGAGCTTTTGGAAAGGCCTGGAAGGCCTGGGAATTTCCACGCTGCTCGGCC